GGACCCAGAGAGGGAAAGGGACTGTGGGCCGAAAACTGGGGGGAGGAGGGGGGAGGGTAGGGGGCGGGTTTCTAGGATATACCCGTTGGCTGGTTGATAATGCATGGAGGATTGGAACCATGGCAATGAGACGATATACGATGGAATGAATGTAAAACTAAAGTTCTCTCATGTAAACTATCATATAATTCACAATAAAAAATAAAAATAAGCTGAAGAGTACCTGTCATTTTCCTTTGAGCATTGTTACCCCTCAAGTCAGAGAACAAACTAATGACTGATATATTTGCTTCCAGTAAAAAAGATGTTGGGTCATATGCCAACTATTGAACTTGTGAAAAAGTATCATCTTATGCAGTTTGCTGAAGCAAACAAGGCTGTAAGTGAAGGCAATCTCTTACTACTGAATGAAGCTCTGATCAAACATGAAACCTTTTTTATTCACTGTGGCATTTTCCTTATTCTTGAAAAGCTAAAGACCTATTGGAATCTTTTTAAGAAAGTGTATTTTTTACTTAAAACAATTTCTTGATGCTTTTCTAGTTGCCTTGAAATTCATGCAAGTATAAGTTGCAGATATTGAGGAAGTCCAGTGTATTTTAGCTAATCTTAAATATATGGGTCACATTAAAGGCATCAGAAACTAGTTGTAAGCAAGCAAAACCCATTCCCTCTACTCTCTACAGTGTATTGAAAATATAACCCTGAAAATGAAAAAAGCAGTTTGTTCCTTTTGTTTTTAACCACACAGTTGAAGTCAGTACTGAAAACATGAATGGGATTCACTGAGGCCCGGGAATTCTTCAAGACCTCTTTTTCTGGGATGGTGAGTCTGTGGATTTGCCAGCAAACACACGTGGATGACTGCAAGTGTACTTTTCTCATTCCTAGCAAATGCTCACTTCACAAAGATTCAAAACTCCTTTCTCAGGAAATGAAAACACCTCACTCGGTTCTGAAGCATTCTCGAAACTCTGGCAAAGGAGGCTTTGTCTTTAAAACAAAGTAAACTGAGTTTACTTTGTTGTTCATAAAGACTATATAATGTTACTCATAAAGACTAGCTTTATAAATTTTTGTAACTTTCTATAATAAAGCATTTTGAATTGAAAGAAAGTTAACGGAATTAAAAGATAAAGGAATTCTTCCACATACGTTTTGAAGCCCCTTGGTAACCTTATAGAGTCAGACATCTGTGTGGTTGGATATTGTCCAAATGAATGTTATGTAGCACATGACTATTTATAGATTACACATTATACAAGAACAAAGCCCCAACAGGCCTTATGCATATAATGTAAGCCGTGATTTTTATGGTAGACATTGCAACAAATACTACTTTTCCTAATGACCTTTATGATAAACACTATTCTCTCTTCTTTTATGAAAATACAAAGTATTCTGTAATATTAGATAAATTACTGGATTAACAAAAAATCTACCTGTCCACTTATAGCAACATGAAACATGAAAATTGGTATTCCTTGTATATTACCCAACTCTCCACATAACAATGATTAGAATTTGGATAACTTACCTTTGTCTTCTCTTCTCAATGCATTTTCAAACAAATTTTTATTAATGCTTTCTAAATCAGTGTGGCTACATTTTCTAACTTGTTGATCCCCTTCCTTTAAAAAAGATGTAAAAAATACAGATTAAATAGTGCTTGAATTGGTATGCAAATATGCAGTCAGCTAGTAACATTTTAAATAAAAATGAATTTTAAAAATATTAATAACCATTGCTGTTGTTAAGTGCCATCGAGTCGGTTCCAACCCATAATGACCCTGGATAGTTTCTGAGGAGTGGCTGGTGATCTTAAACCACTGACCTTGTGGTTCAAACGGACTTTTCAGTACAGCATACTAACCCACAGCGCCACACCAGGACTCCATTAATAACCACAGAACCCCACATATATTTCTGTGTATATTAACAGTTACACAGCTACTTAACCTGTTGCCATTAAGTCAATTCCAACTCATAGTGACCTATAGGACAGAGTATAACCGTCTCATAGTTTCCAAGGTTAAGGAAGCAAACTGCTCCATTTTTTCTCCCAGAGCAGTTGGTGGGTTCAAACTGTTGACTTTTCAGTTAACTGCCGAGTACTTAACCACTGTACCATTGGGGCTCCTTAATAGCTGTATACAAGTTCATATATGAGGCAAGTCAAAAGGTACTGTTACAAAATCATAAACATGTTCATTAAATAAAAATATACATCCTTTATCTAGGTCTATACACTTCCTAACAACAGTGTTTCCATCTCTTTAACCCCTACCAAAAAGATTTCTGCACTCTCTGATTTACATCACATCAAAACATCAGTTTTGGCATCCTTGAGGGATTCAAATCATGTTTCTTGTCAATGTTATTTTGAGTTTGGGGAACACTATTATTTGTTGTTGTAAGGTGCTGTTGAGTCCGTGAAGCAGCAAGATCAGGGTTGTAGGATGAATGTGGTAAGGTTCCCCAATGGAATTCTTGTAGGTCAGCCCTTATTATTACCCTTAAGGAGTAAGTAGATGCATTCTCGTATTGAAAAAAATTCGACTTTTTTCTCACCAAAGCAGTTTTTCATTTTCTGAAAACTTCATAAGTCCTTCTGATCATCTTCTGTCCTCTGAGAAAAATCTACCAAACTTGTCCTTTTGAATTCTAAAACACAATCGCCGTAACTTTCTGAGCTGACTTCTCTGGCTTGAATTTATCTGGCCTAGTAGATTCCCTGAGATGCCAGTTTTGACTGGATCTTTCGTTTGAAGACACCCTAACAGACTAAGACAAGTGCATTACTGAGAGAACTCATCAGCAGCCATCCACTGATCACAGAGATATGTTTAGACATGTTTTGTTTGGAATAAACCCCTGAATGAACTGGAACCATGTAGCAACACTTTTTGACTTACCCTCATATTTAGGATCCTTTGTGATGCTTGACTGCGAAATAAAAACTGGTGGTTTGACTCCTCCAGTTACTCCCCAGGAGACAGAAATGACAGTCTGCTTTCATAAAGATTGACAGCCTTGGAAAGCCTATGGTAGAGCACTACTCTGCCCTACAGAGCTGCTATGAGTTGGATTCAACTCAAAGACAATGAGTGGTGTGTGATACATACACAAATTTATATGCATATATTATAGCCATAGATGTCAATATTGCAAATATGAGGAAGATATATCAAAACATAACTGTTATTTATTAAATGTCATTGAGTATGTTCTGACTCATAGCAATCCTGTATATGGTTTCCGAGGAGCGACTGGAGAGTTTGAACCAGAGGCCTTGGGGTTCTCAAATCAACCACGCAGTCAAGTATTTATCCTATAGTGTCACACCAGGACTCCCAAAATGTTATTTTCTTTATAAAAAATCGATTATATTTTAATACCTCCAAAATAAAATGGTGGTGGTGGATGCTGTTGAGTTAGTTCCAACTCATATCCACCCTGTATTGGGTTTCTAAGGCTGTAAATCCTTACAAGAACAGAAAGCCTCCTCTTTCTTCTGCATAATAGCCGGAATTAAAATATAATCTATTTTTTATAAAGAAAATGCTGTAAGTGCCATCATGTCAGTTCCGACTCATAAAGACCCTGTATAGGTTTCTAATGAAAAATTCCACTATGGTTTGTTGTTTTGGGCTTTTCATACTAAAATATCAAAATGAAACATTTGTGTAATTGTTATATACGGTCAAAATGTACCCACTTAATTCACTATTTTTCCTAATTACCTAAGCTCTTGATTTCATGAAGTATAGAAACAGACCTAGGCTTTATTTCTATATAATGGTTCTCAAACTTCTCTATTCACACATCTGTGGAATACAGAAATATCTATTATTTAACAGTGGTGACAAACTATAGCAGCGATTTCAGAGCCCCCACCTCAAGATATAAGGAGCTCTGGTAGCGTAGTGGTAACGAATCAGGCTGCGAACCGCAAGGTCAGCAGTTTGAAATTACCAGCTGTTATGCAAAAGAAAGAGGAGGCTTTCTGCTCCCATAAAGATTTACAGCCTCGGAAACCCTATACAGGGTCGCTATGAGTTAGAACCGACTACACGGCACATAACAACAACCTCAAGATATCAGAATCTTAGCAGGGAGGTGGTGATGAGTAGCTTTTCAAAGTCCTCCAGGAGATCTGATTTTTCCTCCCCCTCAACACCCCTTGCTCTGTCTTTACAGCAGTGCTGACACTGCCTGTCTTACTGCCATTCATCCTGCCTCACTCTTGTCACATCTTGCTGGCCTGCACACTACTCTTCTCATTACCTCAAGTCCTCTTTTGTATAACCAACTTTTTGACTCTTTCTTCATTCTGTTTATAAAGTCATGTCCTTTGAGAAAACAAACTGAAAATGTTCATTATAACCATTAACCAACTGCCATTGAGCCAAATCCCAACATGCAGCAATTTCAGAATAGCTGTGCTCCACAGGGTTTTCAATGGCTGAATTTTCAGAAGTAGATTGCCAGATCTTTCTTCCAAGATGCTCCCAAGCAGACTTGAACCAGCAACCTTGCAATTAGCAGCTGAGTGTGTAAACTATCTGTGCCACCCAGGGTCTCTGTGTCTACTATGTTGTTGTTATATGCCGTGGAGTCGGTTCCGACTAATAGTGACCCTGTACAGGGTTTCCGAGGCTGTAAATCTTTACGGGAGCAGAAAGCCTCCTCTTTCTCCTGTGGAACAGCTGGTAGTTTCGAACTGCTGACCTTGCGGTTCTCAGCCCAATTCGTAACCACTACGCTACCAGATTTCCTTGTGTCTACTATGGGCTGTAGTAAAAGTACAGTGGTGGCAACTTGGAGTAGGTGCTGGGACTGTCTGTAATGGGACATGAGGAAACTTCTTAAGGTGACAAATCTCTAGGTCTGGGGCAGCGATTACATGACTGCATAAATTATCCAATTTCAACAAACTAGATGTTAAAAAGGATGAATTTTAATTATACTTCAAAGGGAAAAAAAATGGAACAAAGATATTACCATGCAAAGAAGAAAACAAGTGCTAGGGTAGTACATATTTCATTTGTATTAACATATAGATGGGATGGTGCTATTCATTTATAACCTAAGATTCATTCAAAATTTTGGCAAGTTTCATTGCTAGCACACTCCATAAAGAGAGTAAATTGTTAGTATATCTTTTTCCTTTTCATTCAATGATTAATTAAAATGTTAACAAAAAACAAATTAACAGCACACTATTTAATGAGGACAGGTAAACATCTTTCTGATATTCTCTGCTTTCAGCCAAGATCCATCGAACATTAGCAATTATATCCCTCGCTCGTTCCATGGCCCCTTCTGAATCTGGCTTGGACCTCTGGAAGTTCTCTGTCAATGTATGATTGTAGCCATTTCTGTATTACCTTTAGCACAACTTTACTCGCATGAGATATCAAAAAGATTGCCCAATGATTTCCACATTCCGTTGGGTCACCTCTGAATGGTTTAAAATTTAAAAAGGTGTGCGACAAGGTTGTAGTTGTATTCTTTCACCATACTTATTCAACCTGTATGCTGAGCAAATGATACAAGAAGCTGGGTTCTATGAAGAAAAACGTGGCATCAGGATTGGAGGAAGACTCATTAACAACCTGCGATATGCAGATGATACAACCTTGCTTGCTGAAAGTGAAGAGGACTTAAAACACTTACTGATGAAGATCAAAGAGCACAGCCTACAGTATGGATAACATCTCAATGTCAAGAAAATAAAAATCCTCACCACTGGACCAATAAATAGCATTCTTATCAAAGGAGAAAAGACTGAAGTTGTCAAGGACTTCATTCTTCTTGGATCAACTATCAACACTCACGGAAGCAGCAGTCAAGAAATCAAATGACATATTGCATTAGGCAAATCTGCTGCACAAGACCTTTTTAAAGTGTTGAAGAGCAAAGATGTCAGCTTGAGGACTAAGGTGCGCCTGACCCAAGCCATGGTATTTTCAATAACCTCATATGCATGCAAAAGCTGGACAGTGAATAAGGAAGACTGTAGAAGAATTGATGTTTTTGAGTTATGGTGTTGGAAGAGAATACTGAAAGTGTCATGGGCTTCCAAAAGAACCAACAGATGCATTTTGGAAGAAGTACAGGCAGAATGCTCCTTGGAGGCCAATATGGTCAAACTTTATCTCTCATACTTCCAACATATTGTCAGAAGGGACCAGATGCTGGAGAAGGATATCATGTTTGGTAAGGTGGAGGGTCAGAGAAAAAGAGGAAGACCCCAATAAGATGGACTGGCCAAGTGGCAGCATGGATGGACTCAAGCATGGCAACAGTAGTGAGGTTGACTCAGGATCAGGAAGTATTTCGCTCTGCTTTCATTCATTCATAATGGTTGCTATGGGTCGGTACCGACTCGATGGCACCTAACAACAACATTTAATGAGGAAGGAGCTCTGGTAGCATAGTGGATTACAAGTTAGGCTGCTAACTACAAGGTCAGCAGTTTGAATCCACCAGCTGCTCTGCAGGAGAAAGACAAGGCTTTCTGTTCCTATAGTTTTACAGCCTCAGAAGCCACAAACAGCATTGCATGAAACGGGACTAAACCCTGGCACACCACCACCACCACTATTTTTAATTGTTGTTGTTGTTAAGTGCCATCGAGTCGGTTCTGACCCATAGCGACCCTGTACAGGGTTTCCGAGGCTGTAAATCTTTACGAGAGCAGAACACCTCATCTTTCTCCCGCGGAGCAGCTGGTAGTTTCGAACTGCTGGCCTTAACGTTCACAGCCCGATTCGTAACCACTACGCTACCAGAGCTCTATTTAATTAGTGCAGCTGAAAGTCAATCAACTGTTCCACTCACGACTTTACTGCAGCTGGAGTGTACAATCACTTCACAGCCACCCATGGCGAGATATGATGAACATTCTTCAAATACCAGATGTAGAGACACTAAATTTTTTTTAATAGATAAATGTAAATATCTCAGGGGACATCTATTTGTCAACTGGAAAGCACAGTTCATAAAGATAATGTTCTACATTCTAGTTTGGTGAGTAGCTGGGGTCCTAAAAGTTTAGGAGCAGCCATCTAAGAAGCAACTATTGGTCTCGTCTCACCTGAAACCAAGGAGAATGAAGAAAAAGTAAGCTTCAAACAAGCAACTAATCCAAAAGACTAAGGGCCCACATGAACCACAGCCTCCTCTAACCCAAGACCAGAAAAACTAGATGGTGCCCCAAATACCTCTACATCTAACCAAGACCACAATATAAAACCCCATTTATAATATGCAAAAAAGTGTAAAAAAAAAATTCAAATTACAAACAATGCAAGACAGACCAGAAGAACACCTGAGATTACTGCCCTGGGTAAACCTTCTAACTTGAAATTGAAGACACTCTCGAAGGCTACCTTTCAGCCAAGTAATAGATGAACCAAAGAAGATATGGTATCATAGTGGTTACGAGTTGGCTGCTAACCTCAAGGTCAGTAGTTCAAAACTACCAGCCATTTCATAGGAGAAAGATGAGGCTTTCTGCTCCCATTAAAGACTTCCAGCCTCAGAAACCCTATGCAGCAGGGTTGCTATGAGTTGGAACTGAATCCATGGCACACAACCACCATCAAAGGTACACTGGTGGCAGAGTAGTTAAGAATCGCACTGCTAACCTCAAGGTCAGCAGTTCTAAACTACCAATTGTTCCATAGGACAAAGATGAGGCTTTCTGCTCTGTAAAGATTTATAGCCTTGGAAACTTTATGCAGGGCTGCTATGTGTGAGAACTAACTCCACAGCACATAACAATCACCAAAAACTGGTAACACCCATGAAGAATGTGTTCTTATAACAAGCAATTATATGAAACCCAGAGGGCAACATTTGCCCAAAACCAAAGATGAGAAGGTAAAGAGTGATGAAAATGCCATAGAAATGCAAACAGGGAACCCGGGGAGAAACCAGACAGAGTGCTGACACACTGCAGAGACTGCAACCAATGGCACAAAATAATGTGTATGAACTACGGTCACCAAAAGCACAATCAAGTATTAAAAAAGAAAAACATGAAGGTGAAAATGGTGATCTAAAATGGCTTACTGCTGTTCACCCGGGAGCCATCAAGGCAAGTGGTTGGATCCCCTCAGAGCAAACCCCCTTCCAAGACTAAGACTCAAGGGGAATACAGAAGCAGGCATGTGGTCTGGCTGATGACCATGTTGGTCACCAATAAGGGAAAGTGGAGGAAAAAACAGCAATGAAGTTGTGAGCTAAGTCTGACCACATTCAACAGACTCCTGTGAACCTGGGTTGAGACCTGGCTGGCCAGCAGTATGGCAAGACCTGGAAGCTCCAGGGCCCAGAGGCAGTGACGTGGCCACAGAGGACTAGAGTGGAGATTGAAACGTCCAGCTGATATGAAGTGAGGGGAGATGCACAAGAACACCCATACTTGCAGATAGTACCCACTTGTCCTGGCTTCAATGGCTAGATGATCAGAACTTGACCAGAAGAAGAAAGAAGAGGGAAAAAAAAAGAGTATTCAGCTACAATTTGATGAACTTTACCTATACTTATGGATGTAGTAACTCAAAAGAGGGAACAAATCTTTACAACAAGAATCATTCCCACCTCCTCAGTATACAGGGTTGACAGGGATGGGCAACTTAGACATTGGCTACCCAAAATGGGGGAGGGGGGGGCGTGGCTAGAAAAGGCAAGAAGTGACTGGCTTAAAAGCTTTCAAGAGGGAGCGTACTTCCAGATTTTGCGGTGGGGAAGGTAGAATCTCCACTGAGTGGTTTCCAATCTGTTGGGACAGGGCTGATGAAAGGAGATGGAGATTAGACTCCTGTGGTACAATCGTGAATAAGTACTATGAGTACTAACTGTGAGGGCTGAAAATGTAAAGTTAGATGCTTTGTAACAAAAGGACGGGAGTGATTGATTTTGCAGCCCAGGAGCAGAGATCCCTGGGAAGAACAGAATGCAGGACCCTAGCCAGAGAAGCAGTGATGCCAGAGATGGAGACAGAGAAGATGACATGGAGAGATGGAACAGCTGGGGACTGTAGACTCAGGGAGGAAGAGGGGCTGCGTGATGACAGCCAGGGGACAGGCCTGTGGGGTGTACCTTTTGGATGTTTGATGATGCATGGAAGGGAATGTAATCATTACAATGAAACGAAATGCGGTAGGATGAATGTAAAACCGGTGTCCTCCCATGCAAACTATCACATAATTCACAATAAAAACCTTAAAAAAAATTAAAATTAAATAAAATTTCTTAGTGACCATGAAGAATTACACATGCTTGCATTTTACCTTCACCTGCACTATAAAACAAGGTCAGCGGTTCAAAACCCACTAGCTGTCCCTCAGAAACTCTGTACAGGTTCGCTAGGGGTCGGAATCATCTTGACGGCACTTAATAACAACAAAAGATGAGAAGCTACTTAAACTAGAGAGACCAGGTCACAGTCTTCCAAATGTCTCACAGCACCTAGTAGTACAGAGTACCTGATGTATGCATGTATCACACATTTTATTATAAAGCCCTTACCATCGAACTTGCTTCATTGCCCAAAGCTATCCCAATTCTGATGGGGTCTGTTGAAAAAGAAAATACAGAAAGGAAAAATACATTAAAAAGACTCCCATAATTAAGTTGCTGATTTCCTTGCACAGTTTCAGATATAAATGAAGTCTTTATAGTCAAAGAACCAAAGCACTAGCCTGAACAGCCGATCACGCTTTAATCACCTAGTAATACATTTAGTTGTTAAGAGGCTAACCATGCTACTTTATTCCTAATATTAAAATCTGAAAGTTAAAAGGCATCTCTGTTAACTTAAGCTCCTTAATTGCTGTCAAATTCCAATAGCTATTTTCAGAAAACAGACATAAAAGGCCGAACTGAGTTCTTTGTCCCATACACCCTTATAAAAACATTTAAAATTTAAGAAAGTAGTAGTTTTCAAAATGTTTTCTTTTGTTGCATATGATTACAAAGGAGATCTGAGGTGTAGTGGTTAAGTGCTCAATGGCTAACAGAAAGATGAGCGGTTCAAACCTACCAGTGGCTCCACTGGTTCCTTAAAGATTTAAAGCCTTGGAAATCCTATGGGGCAGTTCTACTGTCCTATGAGTTAGATTCAACTAAACAGCTAAGGTTTTTTGTTTGTTTTTTTTAAGTTTTATTTTAATTAAACTTATACAGGTACATAGTTTAAAGAGTCAAATAATTTCACAAATTTTGGTATGAAAATTAGCAGCCCTCCACCTCTTCCCTGTACATTTTCCTTCCCAGGAGCAATGATTTTCAACTCCTTTATTTTGGTTTCTAGCTCTATGTTGTGAAATAAGATGTCAGAAGTTGTATTCCTCCCTCTTAGTTTTCGATTTTAATCATTAGGTTTCACCATTAATCTATTGAGGATTTATCTGTTCCATCCATTCATAGTCACCCTTCCTTCCTCTCATGCTTTCAAATGTGGTAATATCTTACTTTTTTTTTTTAATGTTTTATTGTGAATTATATGATAGTTTACATGGGAGAATATTAGTTTTACATTCATTCTATCGTATATCATTTCATTGACATGGTTCCAATCCCGTCCATGCATCCTCAACCAACCAAAGGGTATACCCTGCAAGCCTGCCCCTTACACTACCCACCCCCCTCCCCAGTCTTCAGCACACAGTCGCTCTCCCTCTCTGGATATAAAGTCCCCAGCTGCTCCATCGCTCCACATCATCATCTCACATCGCTCCACGTCATCATCTTAACAGCAAAGGTTTTTGTAATTTTTTAATGTGATGTGAGTACAACACTAAAGTGAAGAGCACCAAACATCTCCAAATAGTGGGCGATTGGTTCTACTTCGTAACTCCTCTCCTCTACTCAGTTTGCATGAGTCTAAACTGCGAGGTACTTGTTGTGTGAAAGCAGAGCAGCCTGAAAGCAGAGCCTTAGCTCCTTCTTATGTCATAACAGGAGGCTAGAATCCATGTGGAATTTTAAAGCTGCCTTTTCTGATAGCCTTTGCATTGCATAAGTCCATAGGTGGAATCCTGAACCCCATCCAGAATCTTCTGAGGTGGAAAATTTCTACTTGATAGGACAAGCAGAACAGCGAGGAGCTGCTAGAAGAACAGAAGATACTGCATGAAAGAAAAATCGGCAAGAAAAATCAAAAACAGTAACGGCAGTCTGATTGACTACTAAAAGAATAAGTAATTTGTTCACCCGGGAGCTATCAAGGCAAGTGGTCGGGTCCCCTCAGAGCAAACCCCCTTCCAAGACTAATACTCAAGGGGAATACAGAAGCAGGCATGTGGTCTGGCTGGTGACCACGCTGGTAACCAATAAGGAGAAGTGGGGGGAAAACAGCAATGAAGTTGTGAGCTAAGTCTGACCACATTCAATAGACTCCTGTGAACCTGGGTTGAGACATGGTTGGCCAGCAGTAAGGCAAGACCCGAGACTCCTGAGCCCAGAGGCAGTGACATGGCCACAGAAGACTAGAGCACAGAGTGAAGCGTCCAGTTGACATGAAATGACAGGAGATGCACAAGAACACACATACTTACAGACAGTACCCACTTGACCTGGCTTCAATGGCTGGATGATCAGAACTTGACTAGAAGAAGAATGAAGAGAAAAAAAAAGAATCTGACACAATTTGATGAACTTGACCTACCTCTAAGGATTCAGTAGCTCAAAAGAGGGACCAAATCTTTACAGCAAGGATCATTCCCACCCCCTTGGTACACAGGGTTGACAGGGATGGGCAACTTAGACATTGGCTCCCCAAAGTGGGGGGGCTACAAAGGCAAGAAGTGACTGGATTACAAGCTTTCAAGAGGGAGCCTAGTTCCACAGGGTGCGGGGGGGGGGGGGGGGGGGGGGAATAGGTAGAATCTCCACTGAGTGGTTTCTAATCTGTTGGGACAGGGCTGATGAAAGGAGATGAGGATAAGACTCTTGTGGTACAATAGTGAATAACTGCTATCAGGACTGACTGTGAGAATCAGAAATATAAAGATAGATGCTTTGTAACAAAAAGAGAGGAGCGATTGATTTTGCAGCCCAGGAGCGGAGGTTCGTGGGACCATCAAGTGAGAAAAGTGGAGTGCAGGACCCTACCCAGAGAAGCAATGATGCCAGAAATGGAGGCAGAGACGATGACATGGACAGATAGAGTGGATGGGGACACTGGACTTACGGAGGGAGAGAGGCTGTGTGCTGATAGCCAGAGGACAGGCCTGTGGGGTGCACCCTTTAATTATCTGATGATGTACAGAGGGGATTGTAATCATTGCAATAAAAAGAAATACAATAGTATGAATGTAAAGCTGATGTTCACCCATGTAAACTCACGTAATTCACAATAAAAACTTAAAATAAAAAAAGAGAGATAGCATATGATCATGGTGCTGAAGGAAGAAGTTCAAGGTGCACTGAAGGCATTGGTGAAGAACAAGGCTCCAGGACTGATGCAGTACAAATGAAAATCTTTCAACAAACTGATGCAGCACTGGAGGCACTCACTCCTGTATTCCATGAAATTTGGAAGACAGTTACCTAGTCAACTCTTTGGAAAGAGATCTGTATTTGTGCCCATTCCAAAGAAAGGTAACCCAATGGAATGCAGAAATTATCAGACAATATCATTGATATGACATGCAAGTCAAGTTTTGCTGAAGATAATTCAAAAACAACTTCAACAATACACTGACAGGGAACTAACTGCCAGAAATTCCAGCTAGATTCAGACAAGGATGTGCAATGAGGGATATCATTGCTGATGTCAGATGGATCTTGGCTGAAAGCAGAGATTACCAGAAAGCTGTTTACCTCTGCTTTATTGACTATGCAAAGACTTTCAACTGTATGAATAATGGCAAGCTATGGACAACACTGGAGAATGAGTATTCTGAAACACTTCATTGTACTCATGCGGAACCTGTACACAGACCAAGAGTCAATTGTTCGAACAGAAAAGGGGATACTGAATGGTTTAAAATCAGGAAAGGAGTAAGCCAGGATTGCATTCTTTCATCATACTTATTCAATCTGTACACTCCGAAAATAATCCAAGAAGTTGGATTATATGAAGAGTATGGCATCAGAATTGGAGGAAGACTCATTACAACCTGTGATATGCAGATGATACAACCTTGCTTGATGAAAGTGAAGATAATTTAAAGTATTTACTGATGTAGGTAAGTATGGGTTATACCTCAATGTAAAGAAAAAAATCCTCACCACTGGGCCAATAAATAACATCATGATAAATGGAGAAAAGATTGAAATTGTCTAAGACTTCATTTTGCTTGGATCTACTATCAACACTTATGGAAGCAGCAGTCAAGAAATCAAATGATGTATTTCATTAGGCAAATCTGCTGCATAAATATTCAAGAGCAAGGATGGCAGTTTGAGGACTAAGGTGCGCCTGACCCAAGCCATGATATATTCAATAGCTTCATATGCATGTGAAAGTTGGACAATGAATAAGGAAGACCTTTAAAGAAGGTTATGGTGTTGGAGAAGAATATTAAAAGTACCACAGACTTCTAGAAGAACAAACAAATCTGTGTTGGAAGAAATACAGCCAGAATGTTCCTTAGATGGGACATATTATCAGGAGGGACCAATTCCTAGAGAAGGACATTGTCCTTGCTACAGTGGAGGGTCAGCAAAAATGAGGAAGATCCCCAACGAGATGGACTGACATAGTGGAATAGTGTAGCAGTGGGCTCAAGCTTAGCAATGATTAGGAGGACGGTGCAGAACTGAGCAGTTATGTCCTATTGTGCATGAGCC